TTTCACAGCCCAACACAAGCCCATTCAGTTCAATTTGCCTACACTAATGCATTTATTTGGGCCAATGAGCTACTAGTCCTGGGTGAGAAAAACAATTCTGTATACGTAGACCCATTTCATACACTGGACCTTGTAAAATAACAAAGCTTTCAATTTATATTATCATCCCTTGATTTCTGCATAAAAACTTTCAACTGCATGCTCATGCCAATCTATCTCCCCAATTACATTAACACCAAAAGCCAATAAAAAACAACACACACACACACACACGGGGAGAGAGAGAGAGAGAGAGAGAGAGAGAAGCCACCTCATTACTGGGTGCATGTTTTCTACTTCCCTCCAAACTGTACAATTGAAAAAAAAAAGGGGGCATAGCCACTGCAAAAACTAATCTATACTCGAAATTCTACTCCATCTTTTCTGCAAATAAGCTTCGACAGAAAGAAGGCTGTTTTGATCAATGCTACTGAACGAATTCGAGCTATCAAAATTGACATCAAACAAAGCAAGGCCCAGATGGGATTCTGCACTCGAGTCGGGATACACTTCATCATCATTATAATAATCATCATCCTCGTTTTCTTCATCCTCGTAGTTTTTTTCACCTTTAAGTACAGTAAGAATCTTGTTGTGCAAAGAAAAACAAGGCAGTCTCAGTACAATTTTGCTCGAGTATTTTAGTAAACATTGTTAAATTTTGGTCACTAATTTTGAGAATCTTTCGCTTACCTGGGACATTTTGGGGCGAAGCCTCGAAGATTGAGCAAGACAAAATGCTGCAGCTTGAGCCATTCTTTGCATTTGAGCTTCATCGATGTTTCCATCCAAATTTGGGTCCAATATGCTCTTAAAATCTCTGTTTTCTAGTTTAGGTTTAGCCTAAATACCAAAAAAAAAAAAACATCATTTGTGTTAATTTTCAATTCATGCTAACATAAAAGATAGTGGCAAAAATGCATTTTTAGTCCCGTTCTAACTTTTCACTTTATGCCTTTTGGTCTAATAATTTAATATTTTGCTGCAAATTCAGTCCTTTTCGCAACAAAATTACAAATTACAGGACTTAAATTGGTAATCGAAAATCTGGGAATTTGTTGCAATTTTAGTTCAAATGACTGAAATTGCAGCAAAATATTAAATCACGGGACCAAAAAAACGAGCGAAAGGTTGAAACTTTGGGACTAAAATTGCTATGGCGTTTAACAGCAGGACAAAAAATGCAATTTTGCCAAAGATAGTTAATCATAATTAATCTTAGTTACTTACCCACATGACTAAGCTTTCTTGACCCTTGTCTGTCTCTAAACCAATAGGTTTCTTGCCCGAGAGCAATTCTAGTAGAATCACACCAAAAGCATAAACATCAATTTTGTCGCTAACTTTACCGTACATGAAATACTCGGGAGCGAGATAGCCAAATGTTCCTACTACGTTAGTATCCATCACAAAAGAAGCTTTAGTAGGTGCCCATATCGCCAATCCAAAGTCACATAACTGTCACAAGGAAATTAGACCAAGTTATCAACTATGCTCTATAATTAGAAAACAAATATCAATAGCGGAATTTACAAAATATACCTTTAGATTCAACCTAATCACAAAAAGAACCCTTGTGATCTTTCCAAATATGTATGCTTGTAGAGTTGGTTATAACGCATTAAGAGGGTACATATAGGCTATGTTTAGTAAAACCCGTTAGTAAGCCAACCTATAAATGATTTTCGAGCATATAGTTTATGATATACAACTGCAAATCTAACTTATATAATAAAAAGTGTTTGGTAAAATTAGCTGATAAGTTAGCAGAAATAAAAATTTCATCGAACTTATTTGAAAAACTACCGAAGCTTATTTAAATACAAGAAGCTTATAAGCTAATCAAATAAGGTATAAGGTAGCTTATTTGGTTACTGAACATAGCCATAATTTACAATCACTAATAACTTTATGGTGTAGTAAATTACCAGTGGTTCAAGTTCATCAGTTAGGAGAATATTCGAAGACTTAACGTCTCTATGAATAACCGGCCTTGGGCATTCGTTATGTACATAGTTAAGAGCTTCAGCAATCTCAACAGCTATTTTAAATCTTGCTTCCCAAGAGAGTAATGTTTTTTCCTTACACGTACCTGCTTCAACAAATCAACTCCAATCATAAGGTGATTATATGATATATATTCAGCCAATAAATGTCGTAAAAGATTTATTTACGAATTCTAATGCAGAATAATACCATGTAGATTCTCTTCCAAACTTCCCTTCGACATGAAATCGTACACCGAGATTAGATCATTATCTTTTACGCAAATTCCAATCAAAGGTGCAATTTTGTTGTGCTTCAGTGTAGTCATTATGTCAACCTCCAGGATAAAATTTTTCCATGCTTCTTTTGATGACGATTCAGAAATTTTAACCGCAACTGGTTTGCCCTCAGGAAGAATGCCCTTGTACACAAAATTACAGCCTCCTTTCCCAATAAGATTTCCTGTAAAAAAATTAACAGTATATTGCAATTTAATGTGAATTTGCAATAGTAGTCCATCAAATTTCAGAATTTCCAGAAAAGAACACTAAATGAACAAACGAGAATAACAGTTTCAGCCGTATGGTCAGATCAACACTAAAGAAAATGCCAAAAAGAAAAACAAGATCGAAATCAAATAAACTACAAAGCTTTATTGCAAATTCTGCTTTTTTTTTTTTTCGTACTACGTTTACCAAACCCTGAAGTAACAGAACTAAAAGAGTTGCAGTTTATACAGGTAAAACCTGACAAAAAGAACAACATATAGATGGTTGAAATAAATCAAATAAAAACCTGATGAGAATTCTGAGGTTGAAATTTTAAGCACATCATAGCTGAACACTTTGCATCCTGCAGAATTTTTTGAGAGTACAGTTTCCAAATCTTTATGCAGCTCGGTTTTACAAGCTGCATTGGGATTTGTTTCAGCAATATCCGGCAAAGATCTGTGTGGCAATGTCATAACCCACTTCACTAGTGGCAGTTTTCTTGCTTCGAGTGCTTCTTGAGTTAATGAACTGGCTGTCTGAAGAAGAGGCCAGCCGGGCCTCTGCTTCGTGAAATCCTCAGCTGGAAGTGAAATCGAACTTAAAGAACCTCTCTTTTGTTGTCTTTGGACATTAGGAATCAGAACATGAACATCCTCGATCATTATGTTACTCGAGTTTCCATCAAAACTGAATCTGCTCATTTCTGATTCAGATTCTCCAAACTCGGAATGATTGTTCTTGGGTGTGAAGTTTCCGTTTAAATAAAAGCTCGGTTTTGGATCTGAACAATGACCTGGTTATTTAAAAGAAAAAGCTTTAAGGGGAAACAAACAAACTCAGTTCTCTGTGTGTTAAGAGCAAATAATTAAACGAATTACATTAACAGCACATATGAGAAGAAAACCAAACCTTCTGATTTGGTTTTCAAACACCGGCTAAGGACAATCTTCCCGTTTTTTATCGCCATAACTTCAGTAGTTTGAGGGAGTCTCTTTGCACAATACTTTGCAATCGAAGTCCATCTCCTAGAAAATGATCGACATTAAAATTCAAAACTCACAATAACTAACCACAGAAATTGAAAAAAAATAAAAATCCATGTTATAGCTCTTACCTTAAGCTACCATGCTTAGCTATCCCCAAAATAACAGCCGAAGCAGAATGGTTCTTTGCCTCTCTCACCAACATTTTTCTGATCGAATTTCCTTTCAACACTGAAACACTAAGAGCAACCTGAACAAAGCCCAATCCCCAAACCAAAAGCGACACATAAAAATGCAATTACCAAAAAAAAAATAGTGATATTAATACTAATGATAAAACAAATGAAAAACTAACCTGTTTTTCACTGCATAGACCTTCATAGTCTTCCAAGTAACCATCCAACATAATTTTCTCCTTCGAAACCGAATCTGCAACTGAATACTTAACTCAAAAAACACGAAAGCGAACCGAAAAGAAACACACACACACACACACACAAGCATTCACCATCGAGCTAAAACATGAAGTGTTGAGAAAAGCAAAGGGAAAATGGATTACCCGAATTTCGACAAACATGAATAGCCACAACACTATCTCCAGAATCAGCAACCTTGACAAGTGCCCAATCAAGCAACTCTTTAGCATGATCGTCTAATCTTATTCCCACAATCACTTTCTTCACTCCCAAGCTCGATCTCTCGACCGTCATGTTACCCGCCAAGATTTTCTACTAAAGATGAGACCTTTTCGTGT